TGCTAGTTATAATAAAAACGAGCATAGTCTCAAAGTGATGAGATACCGCCCGACGAAGCTGATCTAATCTGATCAACTTGACATTACAGAATTGCTGTATAAGACCAAATATAATTCCGTTCTCATTGATTTTTCACCATTTATGGTACCGGAGCTTCTATCTTTCTGGCCTGCAGTCGCATTCGCCTGGGCACTGTATGTTCGAGCTCTCGATCATACCTGCTGGAGAGAGGCAACACGCTCCATTCAGCATCACTATTGTACTTGAGAAAAAATCGCATATCTCGGCCAGGGTGTGTGTTTTACCTACCTGACTGCACACCCGGATTTTGGCCTACCGTTATTGCACCTAATTGTATCTATCTCCTTCATGGGCATGCGACGATGTGGCTAACATACAAGAGTGTGCAGGCCAACATCTATGAGCATAAATTCCAACGGAGTAGTTTTGTGGAAGAACAGATCCAGCATTCGACCTATAACTTGCCGTTAGGTACGTCACCAACAGCATTCTGCTTTATCTATCATAGTGATTCTTGCAAAGAGCCATCCGTTCAGTTAATCGTTCTCTGCGGTTATTGACACAACTAGCATCGGTTCGGATGAGAATCCCTGGCATGCCAGTCTCACAACAGCTCTTTCTGATATCGAGAAGTAAAGCGCTTTACCTTTTTCTGTGTTCGGAAGACCTCACCTAGAAGTCGAGTCTGACCTCAAGAGAGTCATTTTTGCGTACTCTGCGTTTAACATTCGTTCGAACGGTAGCAACTTATCTCTATCAGCAGCGTAACTGACATTTACAAAGCTAAGAGGTGGTTCTGAAGTTGAAAATATATCCCAGATATTCATCGGGAAACGTTGTGGAAGCTCTAGTATAACAGAGGTTTTGTTCGACGTATTCCTCAATGATGAACGGCGCCGCAAATATGCAAATAGTGGGTCTAAGACGGCATTCAAGTTTTGGACGACCGTGCTAACCTGTTTATCGGTATGATACTACCACCGCCGAATGTGCATACATTATCAATGTGCTCTTTGCCTAGGTGGAAACCAATCTGGCTTTCATTACCCGAAACTTGATGAGCCACTGCTGTTGGATGCTTAAAAACTGAACGCGATCGCTAAACATGTGACGAACCGACGATTCTCGCGCAACTTCTGTTTGGTTGTCCAAAGATGGTAGTGTCGGTATATAGCCGCCAATTTGAAGACACCTCATCGGTGCGTCCAATAGTGTTGAGTAAGACGGCTGGGCAGACAAGCGGTGGGTCACCATCGTTTCCCAGCATCAATGAATAGGGGTCGTCGAGTCAAAGTCGATAAGGTTAGTTCCTGCTGCGTTTTCCTGAGGTAGCGGATTACTTCGGTCAAACAACTATGATCGGATGCGAATATCAACTACTGAATACAGAAGCGTAGTAGCTTTCGCGACCGCATCATGATGCATAGGATTGCCAATCGTTGGTGTCCCACCTCGAGGCCCGACCAATTCTTTCGTTCAATTTTCTCACGCCTTTTTGACTCATTGGCTAACATCCAGCGATTCCATTTAGTTGAATACAACGAAGAGAAAGCACGAACCTCATGGCAGGCGGCCAATGAATATACTGATAACACATCCTAGCCGACATGGCGCTTCAAGTTTGACGGACATTCCGATGTGGCACTAGATGGTCCTTTCAAAACCCAAACTGGCGGACTTCATTATCGCGCCCTTGGTGCAATGCTTTGCAGATGACCATTCTCATATTTATGATCCATAGCGCTGCATCGACCTTTCCGCAGCGTTGTGCAATCTGTCATTAACTGCTGAGCTAATATCCCACTTTCCCCGTATGCACTCGGGGTTTTGATGGAGCCAATGAGCCCCCTGACGCGGTCATTAACCCACGTATTGGTGTAATCACTAGAGATGTTACAGCTAACTAGGTATGTTGACCGAACGATCACTTCCATTAGCTGATCGATAGTAGCTAGAACGTACGGTATCGGCCCGGTTCCGCAGCAATACCTTGCGCCCGGAATGTGAAGCGTTCCGTGCTAGTCCATCCAGAAGCTGTTGTACAATGGCCACATCCAATCTAAGGAGTGCCATGTCCTACAGGTTTGTCGGCCGATCACTCGGTTGATAGGACAGTCGTTTATAATGGTTGGTCCACGTGTTGTGTATGCCAGCCCACCGACTCTCACGACGTGCGTTGTTTGCGCGCCGCGGGTGCGGAAGGAAGAAGAAAAGTGGCCAAGCGATGACTTGGTCAAGAGGAATGAAGGTTCTTATTTTGAACTTGGCCTCCGTTGGAGCCTCTGGTTTGGGATGGAAGGACGATGAACGCGTATGGCTGGATACACTTATTGACATGACTAGGAGCCGACCTCAATGGCATTTGTATTATGATTTTTTTGTCCCTCCCCTCCAACCGCGATCTCATTTATTAGGCATAATATAACTTTTGCGGAAAGATAGTCGACTATTCGTTCTCGGGAACAATGTCCATCCGTCACTCAGCCGGCGTGCCTTTGTTACGATTTTTTCCTTTGTATTGTGGCACAATAGCTGAGCTGCTTTCCACCAATAGCTAACGTGTATACTGACATCATTTCTATGGTAATTTCTATTTTTATTATAAAGGAGGCATGAGACAATCTGAGAGCACCTCATTTATGGTGGGGAACTCAGGGGACGGCTTCCCGTAGACTTGCCCCGCCTCGGGAGACTTCAGAATGTATAAGAATTTCCTTTCCACACAAGGCGGCTTCCATGTCAAAAGTCGTCATAGTCTGTCGCATGTATGCGTATCTTCGAACGCTTGGAGTGCTTGTTAAATTCGGATCACCTTTGTTGGCTCGGTCGTATGCTGATCTCACCTGCCAGTTGGTTACTAATCAGTTAATTTGAACAACTATTATCCGATCACCGAAGTGCGGTGGATCCAGTTGCCACGACTCACATCGCAATACGGACAATAAGTAACAACAGCAAGGTAGTGGGCTAAATGCAAATAAAAAGTAAAGATAATGGAGGCGAAGTGTGCTAGACTAATCAAACTAGAACGAAAATTAACAACCAGATACAGGAAAAAGAATGCAGGGACGTCACTGACTGCGTGACTGCGCCATGTCTGATACGGTTTCCAACCAGTGGTATGAACCACCCCGAGGCCACCATCCATGAAGATCGTACGCACCAGCCTGACTAAGTCTCTCAGTCAATTTCTTCATGCCTCCATGCCACGTCATGGACTGGCCACCTCGCGGTTTCGCCCAGCTTGGTGCAGCCACGGCGTAGAATGCACATTGAGGGAGCCGCTCAACGGATGTACGGAGGACATGGCCTAGCCAATGTAAGCGATTAAGATTAAACAAACACTCGAGTGAGTCACCAGAAGGCTTCTTGCCAGCAGCCAACTGGCGGACTTCAGCGTTCCTCACCCAGTGTTCCCACCGGACGTGAGTAATACTCCGCATGCACCAGTGGTTAAACACGGCCAAGCGTTTAATATATTCGCCGCGAACTGGTCTCGTCTCTGATCCATACAGTAAGACCGGTCTTACCGCAGCGTTATATGTCCTCTCTCACTGACAGGCTGATATCCCGCGGTCTCCATAGATGGTTGAGTCTCTAGAAAGCCACACGCGCCTTGCTGATACGCGAAGTAACTCCCTCAGTGATGTGACCACCAGAGGTGACACAGCTGACAAGCCAAGTGAACTGATCCACTGTTCGGTGATAGCTAGAACTGGAAGTGTGTCGGTCCAGTCCTACAGTAGTACTTTGCACTTTGAAGGTGCAAAGTATATACCGAAGCCTGTCCAGCATTGTTTGCATAGCCACTGTATCAGACTTAAGAAGAGCTATGTTGTCCGCATACACCAGTTTTGCCAGTCAGTCATCTGGTCCACTCCGGTAGAGTCTAAAGTACGGAGTCACTCATGATCGTTTCAATCACACAGTTAAAGAGAAAGAGATGTAGGACAACCCCAGCGATCTCCAATTGTCGTGCGGAACTCAGGAGACAGGTTCCCTTAGACCCTTACACGGCCTCGGGAGTCACGATAGAGACTTAAGGATGGAAAGGAATTTAGCCGACACTCCCTTTATAAATAGGCAGTGCCACAAGCTGGCGCGGTCAACAAAGTTGTGTACGGCTTTGAAGTCAGGGCAAACTACCGTAGTCAGTCGTCTGTATGTGTCTGTTCTAAAACATGCTTACTGATGCTGCACCTGATTCGTGAACACTCGACTCGATGTAGCCAGTCATCCACATAGTAACAAAAGAGCACAAATCAACACCGAAAAGCTGAGTCGAGCTGATGTTTGTCTTATTCCTGGATATTGTTTTCGGGACCGATCATGTTACGCCGAGACGAAGTCAGAAAACAGCTGTGTACGCACGCACGTGGCGAGCGTTTGGCACAGCGTGTCAGGTCGCTTCATTGGTTGGACACCCTATCGCATGTGGCGCGGTCAGGTCAGTAGCGCTCTGGAATCCGCTCGGAATTTCGATTAGTCAATCTGACAATTTAAGTTGTTGTTCACTCCCCTGAGTGTGTCAAGGCAACTAGATCCACCGCACCTCGATACACGTATCAAAGCCGATTAAGTGAACTGAACTTGCGCGTGGACAATTGGAATAGCTTGGGGCAATGGCAACAAGGCTAATACGCCTGTGGTTTTCCCCTAAAATTAAGCGCAGCCCTACCTTTGATAGATGTTTTCGCTTTTTCTTAGCGTAGTTGATAGCCCCAACAGTGCCCTTATGCTGGTAAACGCGAGTTTATCCATAGCGGAAGAGGAAATATTGGTGGCGACAGCGATGTGAGCAGATAACACTCCAGTTCTTCATTTCGAGAGCGAAAATTTATTTGAAGTGCTCTACTTCTAATATTCCAATTAGTAGTCTTACAAATTAACGGCTATCACGTCCAGCCCGGGGCTGACCATAGAACTCATTAGGATCGGCGTTTTCCAGCTACACACGGCCTTGAAATATCAAGGACAGTCAACATTTGAGACCGCCGATTATTTTTACTGGGTCTGCACTTGTTCGACCAGGAGTTGCTGAATGATGGCAAACCAGTAAATCAGAGTGCTGCTCTCCAGTTGTTATAGACAACCCTTGGTGCTCGTTCTCTACGTCTGTCTGTCTGAACTTATACCCCGTGTATTGTTGCGTCACGAGTGGAGGGCCTCTAACTACTGCCTGATCACTGGTGAAGTACGTTTGTCTAACCCTCGACCATTGTTCTACTTGGCATGAGTAACCCTGAAGACCATGGAAAGCGCTAATCAGTGTAGGCACGTTTTCGGCGCATTGGCTGTGATGTTTCTTACCCTCAGCTAACGTGTAATAATCATGGTGATGATGAGTGTAGGCAGGTCGTTAGTAGTTCTTGCCTTAGGTACTTTCACTCGTCCCATGCTTTTTGTTAACCTGACTATGCAAAATCCGGTAACTGGAATCTTCCCTGCCAAATGCTGGTCAGTTCCCACTCTTGGACCTGGTTTTATTACCCCGAGCTCGCATGGGATGCTATATGTCCGATTGACACTCGAAATCCGCTTTGGTGCTTGTTCAGTTTCATTGTCGGTCGGTGGCCGGAGGGAGGGATGATGCACCTAAGTTGTAGCGCCGACGCCACCATTTCGAATCTACGTCGGTGCGGGCGACCCTGCAGTTTCTATGTCTGGCACGCAACTGGTGGTGGTCGCCTGACGTCAAAGCGTTGCACCACCGTATTGTTAGTGCCTTGTACTCTCAATTTCATCACTGTTTAGGCATACCCGTGTTTATTTCGCGCAAATTTTAACAAGCATTTGAAGTGGGCGGTATTCACTTACTGTTCACCTATTTTTAAGGTTAAACCATCTTTCTCACTGGAGTGCTCTTAAGTGACATTCGCGCTGCTTTTATCCGTCCATCCGTTTATGTCCTCATCGTCAATCTTTTTAGTACATGCAATATGACTGATTCTCCTTTCACGTTACAGCCCGTTGATTCAACGATATCCGTCAAGGTCAGCAATTGGTACTCGTATACATCATGTCTGCACTAATCATTTTATCTGAAGGTGCTGAAGAAATCGAAACAATTACGGTTGCCGATGTCCTGTCGCGGGCCGGCATCGCTGTAACTCTTGGTGGATTGCAGGGAGATGGCGTATTAAAATGCGCTCATGACATCGGCATCAAGGCCAACGCACCTCTCACGGATTTGCGTTCAAAGTTGTACGATGCGATTGTCATGCCTGGTGGACTCGGTGGAGCAAAGGCAATGGCTGGCTCCTCATTGGTGAAAGAGATGTTACTTGCACATGAGAAAGCGGACAAGTATATCGCGGCCATTTGTGCAGCTCCCATTGGTTTGCAAGCTCATGGAATAGCCTTGGGAAAGAAGCTTACCGCTTACCCCTCATTCAGAGACCAGCTACCAGGTTTCAAGTTTTGTGACGAAGCGGTCGTCGTTGACGGAAAGTTAGTCACCAGTCGCGGTCCCGGGACTGCTATGCAGTTTGCTCTAAAGCTGGTCGAACTTCTGGTGAACCGAAAAACGGCAGTCAAATTGGCCGAAGGACTTCTCGTGGACTTAAAATAGTCAATACGTTCTGATCCGCTCCCTATTGAATACTTGCGCACATTTTGTTGCGTTGCTGTCATTTGATAGATTGCATTTCTGTCTACTTTAGTAAAACGGTATTTGATGACTCATGTATCCCACTGGCATATAATACGCTATTTATCACATTTCGCTTCTTTTACTCGCGAAGAGGATTGTAGGCCACAATTTGAAATACACACTACCGCGGCGTATCCACAACATCGCTATCACGGCGCGCTCGTTGATCGATTTCATTTTAACTGCATCGCAGTTCTTTAAAACACCTGGCGGGGTGAAAAATTCTAAGTGGTTAACTTACTGCATGGCCACTTCTGCACAACTATGTCTTAGGTTGATGCATCTCTGATGCCTAATCCCGCTTGATATGTCGAATTTGGCGACAAGGTGCAAATTCTATAACCGATTGTAGGAGACAACTCATCGTTGCTCAATGGGCGGCCTCAATGTAGAATGGGTTGCCACTTTCTACACGTATACATTATCTGCTTTCATCGGCTGTCTAGCAGACGCTGACCTCTCGCAAATTACATGCTAGCGTAATGTGCCTATGCTCTCGAGTACAGTCACACACGCAGTCCCTGCGTTCAGACGATTTCACATCGTCCTATGGCGTAGTGTTAACTACTTTTTGCCAGACGGGATAAGTGCTCGTCTCCTGTTTCTACTCTTGGGCGAGTCGGCATTCGTCTATTTAATGAGAATATTCCTCTGTTCACTAAATCAACTGCCCTTCGTAGCCTTACGGATCACATGCCTTCCAAAGGCGCGGGTTCGAGCCTGCGTGGGGACCGGGTGACCCTCGTATCGTTAACCCACCTGCGACTGGTAGTGGTTGCGCGGCAGCGAAACGTCGATGCTGCGTACCAACGTACTGATGTCTTCCTCAGAATCCTCATACTTGTCAAAGTTCTAATATAATCGCTGGAAACGCTCATATGGAGCGCAACCCTCAAGTTTATGGAGTCCGAGGTTGGCAAACATGGCCACAAAGGCATGCTTCACCAAATTATTTATTGTTTGCGAGCAGCTTCTGTAGCTTATGAATCGTGCTCATTTAATAGCATCAGCCCTCAGTAACTAGGCACACGTATCCTGGGTCTGTTTGGCAGAAGCACTGCATTAAATCAAGCTCATAGTCATGATCCAACCACCGGAGCGCATTGAGTTCGTTCATGTCTCGCGTCGTCCTGTCAGTAAAGAGTTATAAGAATGAAAAATGCTAAACAGCGAATGAAGGCTCGAAAAACCAGAGCCATCAGACGGGCTGTGGTGTTGTACCGAATATGAGAGCACAGCTAACTTCCAAACTGCGTATATTTCTAACTGCTGCTCTCGCAGCTTCTGGGACCAATCAGTAGGAGCGCAGTCGCTAACGAGTGACGGTCTTTGGGTCGTTTGCTTTGTGCTCCTCCATCAGGCTATCACTCATTTACAAATACGCAGTATCTGTAAACGATGGAGCCGGTAGGATTAATAAGTGCTAGTTTGAGATGGGTCACGTACTCGAGCGCAGATATCAAAAGGTAGACGAAGTCGGACACGGCGGATTATATTCGAGTGGCTAGAAGAAGATGGGGACGGATGAAGCGAGACAGGAGCAAGCGTTAGCACGGTGACTCGTGAAGCAGACGAGTATGAGGAGATATGGACGGGGTAATGATCAGTAAAATAAGAATGAATGTTGAACGATCGATAAGTAATAAAATCGTATATAAAAGAAGTTACCTTTTAGGACGCTACAAAGCTCCCCTAGAAGGATGGACAAAAGAACCCTTCGAAGTGGAGAATGAGGTGAGTCGAGGTTCATATAGCAAAAATGCATGTGAATGTTCGTGTTGAGAGGGAGTTCGTCTGAAATCGGGATTCGCTGTCATTTAAATTCTTTTGTTTAGTTGATTGTAGGACGGGTTGCATCACAGCGAGCTGTTGTAGCGGGCTTTTCGGATTTCAGCGAACTGGATAATCCAAAAAGGGACCTACAGGGCTTCAGTCCCTGCTGCTGCCAAATGGTGCGCTTGGAAATGGCCTCCGCCCAGCGACAAATTGACACTCGTCCCATGAAGGACGTCCAGGCTTCGCTTCTGATTCCTCCTTAACTTCCGCGATCATCGAATGCGCCGCTTGTGAAGGCCAGTCGGTCGGAGGGGAGGGTTGGGGCATATAGAGACGGAAAAGAGACGTCAAAAACAACGAACTAACGAATGGTTTGTATGCAATGTTGTCTAGATTTTTTGAGTTGTTCTTGGTTTTTGGGGATTTTCGATTCTTTTGGGTTCCAAAACCATATTTCAACAAAAACGGGGAAATATATACAATGTCTGCAAACCCAACGTATTTACAGCGTACATAATCGGAAAGTCGAACGAGGTTACCAACCTCTTGACCATGGCGGTTGGTCGTGAGAAGCGACAGGTTATGTGTGGATGATGTCCGTAAACCAGGGTCGGCAATTGATTCGAAAATGTTATGGGCTGAAATTCGGTGCGTTTATTTGTAACGTCGAACGAGGCATTGTAGACGATGAAGGCGGGGTGGATTACTTTATGAAGGTTGTTTTAAGTGGTCGATGGTGACAACTTCGTGTCGATTCTTGCAGTCGAGTGTGCACGTTTTATTTGTACGGTTGATTATTTCGAGTGGTCCGATGTAAGGCGACTGCAGATGCTGTCGAACACCGTCTACGCGGAGCAGTACGTGTGAACAAGTAGACAGTTTTTCGGTCACGTACACCGGTGTCTTTTACAACCGTTGATCAGGAGCGCACAACTCACGCATCTAGTGAGTTAACCGACTAGTATAACTTCTTGCTTGTGCTATCAGCTGTCCGGACAA